CTCTCTTCAGAGCCCAAAGGCAGTGCAGGGCAGCGCATGGCAAGGGAGGGCCAGGGAGCGCTCCATTGTACAACCACCCCCAATAACCCTGCTCCCCGCTCCCCATTGCTCCATGAATGAGTCCGTCTGTTCCTGATGACGGAGCTCACCAGACCCAGTCACCCCAAAAGTACATCTGAGTCCTGTTGACATGTGACTCTGGGGATGAAGTTTGCAACACAAGAAAGTCAGGGTCCCAGTCGGACTGCAGCAGGGCCCCGTACCCTGCTCAGCTGGGCAGCCCGGGGCTCCTCCGACAGTCGAGGTCAGCTCGCAGCTTTCTCCCCCAGGTGGTCTTGGTTTGTGCCCTGTGACCGCGTGTAATTATTCATTGTGCCGCCCTCATTCCCTAAAGTGTCCATGCTTGGATGATAAGGTACATGGCTACCTTCCTATAACCTAATAGCTTCACTTGTGGTCATACGTCCCAAATGACATTCCCAGGGATCCAGACAGACACCGGTGTGCAGGTGGTCTTGGCATCGGTGGTGTGGGGAGCTGGAGATAAGACAAACGCTCCAACTGGGAGGGAGCGCAGGTGAGGAGCACGCAGGTGTGAGAACAACAGATTCGATGAACCTGCAGCAGCATAAGTGGGTAACTAAAGGCGTGCTGAGTGGGGAGGGGAAAAAGGAGAAGGAGATATATAATCTTATGTGATTCATCAGACCGAAAGTATGTGTACAGACAAAACACGCCTTTTTGCAGAAAATACTTTATGACAAAAATAAGCATTAAACACATTAGGACGATGGGGAAAAGGAAAATGGGTCTAGAAAGGAGAAATTAGAACATCAAGGGCTGGGTTCGGTCTGAAGAGGCGGAGTCTTCCAGGGAAAGGCACTGCTGTGTGCTGAGAATGCTCCGTGCAATGGGCAGTCCCAAAGGAGAAAGTCCCGGTTCACCCAACTACACGGGCGGAACCAAAGTGTTGACTGAGCCCTGCTCAGTGTCAGGCACTGAGGCGGACCCCAGGAGGTCAGGACAGATGTCTTCAAGGAGTCTTGACTGAGTTCCTGCCTGAAAACACTTAGTCATGGAAAAGTCTCTGGGCAGAACTCGCGCTGTGTCCATGGGCCAAGTAATCTAGCCTCAGACATCTTGAGTTGGCACAGTGTTTAGAGGGAAGGAAGCCCAACTTCCACTACGTTGGAGAAACTGGATTCCTGGTCAGTATTTTAAGAGCTGAAGATAGGCATTCCTGGTTGACAGACGGAGAGAAGCCAGAGAAAAGGCAGGACTCAGAAGGGGCCTGGGACAGCCAGGAATCAAGGCAGCTAAGAGGCACGCGTGGATGGCGCAAGGTCAGACGTTCACATGTTGCAGGTGTCAGAAGCATCGGGCTAGGGGCCGGCTCTGGGTGCAGCAGGTTAGAGCTGCCACTGTGAAGCCCACGCCCCACACTGAAGGTCTGGTTCAAGTCCTGGTTCCCCTGCCTCCGATCCAGCTTTCTGCCAGTGCACCCTGGGAGGCAGCAGAGGATGGCTCAAGTACTTGGGTCCCTGTCACCCACGTGGGAGACCCAGATAGAGTGCCTGGCTCCGGGCTTCAGCCAGGCTGTTGTGGACATTTGGGGGGGTGAACCAGCAGATGAAATATCCCTCTCCCTCCCCCTCTCCCTCCCCCTCTCCCTCTCCTTCTCCCTCCCCCTCTCCCTCCCCCTCTTTCCCTCTCTCCCTCTCTTCCTCGCTCCCTTTTCCCCTCTCTCCCCTTTTTTCCCTCTCTCCCTCTCTCCCTCCTTCCCTCTCTCTCTCTCTTGCTCTACCTGTCAAAGAAATAAACTTAAAGGAAGCCCTTTGGCTAAGCCTTACTGGTTGGTACACCTTGAACTCTTTCCTGAGACGTTGTTTGCCACAGGAGCACACGGAGAACAGGGCACAGACTGACACGTGATGGGTGATGGTTCTTTTCTGCTCCAGTGAGCAGCCTGGGAGAGGCCAGGGGGAGGCGTGTGTTACAGCGTGAAGGGAGCTGATAGATAACGCTTCTCTTCCCGTCCCAGAGCTGAGACAACGGAGGCAAAACCCAAAAGCACTAGTCCTGCCAAAGCCTCGCCTGAGAATGTAGCCAGGCCTGCAGGTGAGTGACAGCAGAGAGCCCAGCGGGCCCAGTCCTGGGACAGGGGTGGCTGGAAAGGCAGGGCAGTGGTCACTGCGGCCGGTGCCCAAGAGAAAGGGCTGAGCTGCGGGGGCCCGGGCACTGGGGTACCAGGCCTGCCCCACCCAAGGGCAGAGAATGGAGAAGGAGGCTCCATCACGGGGCTTCTGACCTTGGGAGGGTCACAAAACCCAGTCTGTCCACATTCTGACGGGCTCACCGCTGGCCAGTTAGGACATGCCTGGGAAGCAGGACGCGGAGTGGCTTTCTGATTGGGGGTTAGCTGCGATCCCTTCCCTGCCTTAAAAACCATTTCTAAATGAAAGCGAGTCTCAGCAAACCCCGGCCGAAGGTCCCAGCTCCGCCAGGGGCAGAGCCAGGAGGAGAAATGTGTTCGAAGCCAGCTAGGTGGGCCCCGTGTTTAAGCAGGCAGCCTGGGAAGGAGGTGACTCAGTGCCTACGGCCACATCCAGCCAGTGTCCTTGGTCATCGTCCTGTGGACTTCTCCAAGCAGGTCTGGCGACCTTGTGATGAGGCAGCCTGGATGTGGTGTGGCCAGGGGCTGGCAGGAGTCAGGTGGTGGGGCCCTGCCAGTCTCAAAGGCAGAACACAACGCTCCGGGCAAGGAAGCGCCAGCAAGCCAGACGGCCCCGAGGGCTTTCCTGGGCAGGGAGGGAGGGAGGGTGGACTGAGGGGCTGGGCCATCATCTTAGGACCCCACAGGGCAGACAGATCGCTGGGGCCCGCCAGGGAGGAAGAGCTGTGCCCACCCATTCGGGGTGTTGTGTCCACTACAAACCAAGCGACAACCTTTCTGAACATCCCTGAAGTCTAAGGCCTCGAGCTACCAACAGTGCCGACTCCCAAGCAGAAAGGGTGACCTCAGACCTGCCTTTGTGAAAGCAGAGACTGGCCAGCCCGAGGGCTTTCTCCCGGGAACCCGGGGAGCAGTCCTGCCCGGCAGCCGCCTGGAGTGCCCAGCACGCCCGGAGCGACAGCACTCTGGAGCGGAGTGGGATGTCCCCAGTCACCCGCTGAACACCCATACGGGACAGATACTAAGGAGATGTGCAGAGCATAAGGTGCCCAGCCGACACACACATTCTGCCCATCTTACTGAGGGTCTTAAAAAAATTCCTTTAAAGTTCATTCATTCTACTTGAGACGTAAGCACCCAGAGAGAGAGAGAGAGAGAGAGAGAGAGAGAGAATCTTTTATCAACTCCCCTCCCCCACCAAGTGCTGCAAGGGCCAGAGCTGGGCCAGGCCAAAGCCAGGAGCACGAGACTCGATCTGGGTCTCCCACGTGGGTGGCAGGGACCCAAGCATTAGAACCATCATCTGCCGCCCCATTCGCAGGAAGCCAGCACTCCCACAGGGGGCGCAGGCATCCCGAGCGGCACCTTCACTACTGCACAAAATAACTCCGACTCACGGCTAGCACTGAAGAAGTGAGAGATTTTATACGAAAATCGGGACTTCAGGCACTTGTTGGAAAGGAGATGTGCGGCAGGGCAAAGCCAGCCCTCAGTCTGCCTGCTGCTGCCGGAGCTCCCGCCAGCCTGGAGCGGTGCCTGCACTCGTGCCAGTGCAGGGCTGGAGCAGACCCGGCTCTCACAGACGCCTGGGGGCTGCACCACCCCACCCCTGCTGCGCTTCTGAATCCAAGTCCTGGGGTCACCTGAGGACCCAGCGGAGGAAGTGGCTTGGACTGGTGATGAGACTGAGTTCATGGAAACTCACGGGCAGTCTGGTAGACCCCAAACAGCCAAAGGCCACATTTTAAAGACGTGTGAATTTCAGGGGCGCCCCCTGCCCCCTTCTTCTGTGGATCCTGCTGCCTGAGGAGGGGAAGCAACTCTGGAGGAGTATTTGTAAAACGGCACCCGCGCTCCGCGTCTGAGCCTCGGACACGGCACCGCTGGAGACGGTATCAGGTGCATTTATTCTGGAGTGAGTCGTCCGATTTGCAGGAAGAAGCAAGCAAGTCGCAGAAAGTCATCGGCCGCTTCAGACATCTGTTTGCCCTGGTTACTAAAAGGCTTTTTGTAGAGGGCAGCATTGTGGCACAGCTGGTTAGGCAGCCGTCCAAGACGCCGGAATCCCCTGTGAGACACGGTTCAAGTCCCGACTCTCCACTTGCGATCCAGCTCCCTGCTAATGGCCTGGGAAGGCAGTAGAAGATGGCCCAAGTGCTTAGACCCCTGACCCCACATGGGAGACCCAAGTAGACTTGCTGGCTCCTGGCCCCGCCCCAGCAGCTACAGTCATTTGGGGAGTGAGCCAGTGGATGAAAGATCTCTTTCTCTCTCTCTCACTCTCTCTCACTCTCCAACTCTGCCTTTCAAATAAATAAATCTCTTTTAATGGCTTTTAAAACTTTGAAAATTAAACACTAACTGCCGCTTCTCCAGGTCCCACGTCAACCCTGTGACTCAGACATCTAAGTGAAGGCAGGGCACTGTCTCATTACAGAGATTGCAAGGGACAAATCTCCACTGAGCCCTCGTACGTGCGAGGCTGCCTGAGCCACTGAGCTGCGGGCCATCCGGAACCTCAGCTTTGAGGAGCTCAGGGGGGACGAGGAGATGGCAGGCCACAGGAACGCCAAGCCCCTCCGCGTCCCGCTGTGCATGTCAGCACATTTCTGCTTTGTTGAGGTAGCCTTGGCTAATCCAAAAATAAAATAAAGTAAATAAAGAGGGAGGTGGAGAGAGGGCAGAGCGAAGGAAGGGAAAAGAAACAAGGAAGCAACTTGGTGATTTTTAAATGTTGGTTGTTTATATTTTGTAGCTGGAGCCCTAATTAACAGCATCTAATATGTTTGGGAAGTAGTCTGTTTCCCGTGAGTGGATTGTTCTTCCATATAAAACATTACCTGTCGATGCATAGTGGAGATCCCACATTTTGCAAAGCGACTGTTCCCCAGGGGAGAGCCACTCATGCTTCCGTTATCTCTGGAGTTTCATTCCTGGTCTTAAAAACCTGAAGATAATGGGACAAAATAGCACCATTTGTTAAACCCCTCTGGCGGCAGTGTTGGGATACTTTCTGAGGATTTAAAACACTTTGTAATTTCTAACATGTACAAGATGACGCGAGTGTTTTCTGAGGCAGCCACCGGCAGGGAGAGCAGCGCAGGCCCTGGGCTGCTGGGTGCCCCCGGCTCCTGGGATGTGCTGGGGGCGCCCGGAGTCGTTCCTCTGCCTCTTTGCTGCCCAGCTCACTTCTGCTGCTGCAGCTTTATTTTATCTTATTTTTAAGATTTCTTAGGCCGGCGCCACGGCTCACTAGGCTAATCCTCCGCCTTGCGGCGCCAGCACACCGGGTTCTAGTCCCGGTCGGGGCGCTGGATTCTGTCCCGGTTGCCCCTCTTCCAGGCCAGCTCTCTGCTGTGGCCAGGGAGTGCAGTGGAGGATGGCCCAAGTGCTTGGGCCCTGCACCCCATGGGAGACCAGGAAAAGCACCTGGCTCCTGGCTCCTGCCATCGGATCAGCGCGGTGCGCCGGCCGCGGCGGCCATTGGAGGGTGAACCAACGGCAAAAGGAAGACCTTTCTCTCTGTCTCTCTCTCTCACTGTCCACTCTGCCTGTCAAAAAAATATATATATATTTCTTTCTTTATTTGAAAGGCAGAGTTACAGTGAGAGGGAGAGACACAGAGAGATCTTCCATTCGATGGCTCACTCCCCAGATGGCCACAATGGCCAGGACTGGGCCAGGCCAAAGCCAGGATCGGGAGCTCCAGGGGCCCCAGGACTTGGGCCATCGTCTGCTGCTTTCCCAGGCCACTAGCAGGGAGCTATATCAGAAGTGGAGCAGCCAGGACTCAGACTGGCGCTCACAGGGGACGCTGGTGGCAGTAGCAGCGGCTCAACCAGCTGTGCCCCTGGCTCCCTTCTTACCGCTGTGTCAGCTCTCTCCTCATCTGCTGTGTCTGGGGAAAGCAGCTAATCAAACCAGAACCACAGGGAAAGCTGGAATTAATAAAGAAGAACCCAGAAAGACTCGAAACACATGGATTCTGGTTTTCGACGGTGCCTTGGACGGCTGGGGTTGTAAAGACTTTTAGGTAAGTAAAGTGCGTCCATGGTCAGCACCCCCGTGGACAGCGTGATGGCGTTCAGGAAAGAAAACCGACCCGAGTTACCCCGGCTTTGGTCCTAAGCAGCAGTGTTCATTCATTTGCATACTCAACAAACCCTCATTGAACATGCGCTATGTGCCTGGCACTGTTCTAGCCGCTGGGAGCCCAGCTGTGTATCAGACAGGAGCAGAAATAATGAAGCGAACAGTACAACAGTGGTAGGGGCAGTACATGCTTGGAGGGCAGGAAATCAGGTCGAGTGGCAGTGGGGGACCCAGGTCAGGGGGAGGTGGCATTTCATGGTGCAAGGTGCTCTCAGAGGGGGGGCTTTGGGCAAAGCCCGGAAGACAAGACAAGGTCAGATGGCCAGAGGTAGGGAAGGGTCTTACAGGTCAAGGGAACAGGAGTGGGACTGTTGTGTTCAGCAAACGAACGGTCAGGTGCTGGAGCAGGGCTGGAAGAGAGTGATTGAGTGACTGAGGGAGACCCCGGCGGGGGAGGCAGACCCGGGCAGCGGGAGACCCGGGAGACCCTGGCGGGGGAGGCAGACCCGGGCAGCGGGAGACCCGGGAGACCCCGGCGGGGGAGGCAGACCCAGGCAGCGGGAGACCCGGGAGACCCCGGCGGGGGAGGCAGACGCGGGCAGCGGGAGACCCGGGAGACCCCGGCGTGGGAGGCAGACGCGGGCAGCGGGAGACCCGGGAGACCCCGGCGGGGGAGGCAGACCCGGGCAGCGGGAGACAGAGTCTGGTCCATCCTGGGAGCAGCAGGTGGGTCTGCAGGTTGGCATGCTCGCAGTGTGAGCTGGGTAGTGAGAGGACTAAGGTTCACTTGCAGGTTTGGGGTCAAGCAACCAGGTGCAGGGTGAAGCTGGCACCAGGCCGAGAAGAGGAAGGC